TGAATAACCTTGTCAATCATTATTGTCAAGTCCATATATAATGGAAAATTTATTCCTACTTACCGTAATTTTCTTTTCCTGGTCATAGGCCATGGCAGCACAAGGGTCCCACCCGGGGCTATTGCTGAAAACAAGACTGGGGAAGGAGGGGTACGAGGTGGTACTTATACTGCTTAATTATTATTCCTGTCCAATCGGGATAGGGAGGAGCTACCCAATGTTGTGCTGCCATGGATATGGCCAGGAAATATATATATATATATCTTCTTGCTAGGTGTTTTTTAATGGATTTAAAGTCTGAATAATGCAGGTATTCACGATTTATGTTAAATGGTTGATGAATAGTTCTTAAACTTGTGCATATGGATTGATTAAATTGTGATTTGGATGAATTTGGGCCGATCGACTGTTCAGCCAATTTCCGCATCTCAGAAGCATCATGCAAACATATACTGGAGCAAACAACTAGCATGTTAGCTGAGTATTTAATATTCAGAGTTTCACATGTTGCACCAAAAAGAGATGAATAATGACTAGGGGACAGTCACTAACTTTTTATTTTATTCACAGATCAAGTGAATAGTGAATAACAGAAGTTTTTGTTTTGGTCAAACTATGGAAGCATTAACTAATAGGTAGCTAGCTCCTGCAGAAAAAAAAAACCAGCTAAAGTTAAAAGGCCAATATGTTATTTTATATCCATCAGTACAAATTAAACATTTACAAAGGTAATTCCATCATTGTACACCTTTTACTGACTGGGTGTATGACCTGGAAAATATGGAAAATATGCCGCATTAAGAAGCCTTTACCAAGCAGCTTTGAAGTAGTTACACAGAATCTGTGATATGAATAGTCAGTCCTATTTATTAACTCAATTCTGAGTTTTCTTTTCTGTTCTATAATCTGTGAAGCTTCTATTTATAAAAACTGCCACGGTGACTGACCAAGTAAAAGAATTTATGGTAAGTATCAAATAAGTTTTTATTATATCCTTGGTCCATGTAATTTTTTTTTAAACCTGCTTGTGAGAATAAAATCAGATGTTTTAGGAAAATAAAAGAGAATTTATCATTACAATGGCTGTGTTAAGTTAGGTTAAGGTTCGAGTATCTTGATTTTTATCGTTATTTGTAAAATTCTTTCCAGGTGTCTATGGAAAGCTGTCTCAAAAGAACCACCTGTATAAATTAGTTTTTGTGTGGATATTTTTCGGCAATGTGTCACCCTATGAGATTTCTACTTTTTACCATCTACCTATTCAACATACATCTGAGGCTTACACTTTATTTAAAATTGTGATTGTCTACTTTGTTCTGAGCTACTTTTATATCATTGTAGAGGTACACATAACTGGAATAATTTCAAAGATACCTGTTTTCCTAGTTTTATACACATCTCACAAATGTTGCTCAGTTACAATACAAAGCAAATACTAATGTCCATAATGGTTATTGAATAAGGGTTGGGGTATTCTAACTTGCCTTTTGTCCTTACTCTACAATGAATGTGACATGTTTAGACTAATCTGTTCATGTAATATGACTCAGGAATGAAGTATAAAAGGCCTAACACTTTCTGATATCGGGGAATAGCAGGGTTGGGTGGTTGGTGTGAAAATAAAGATAAGATACCAGTTATCTACCGGTCGACTTGACTAAGTCAACACTTTCAGTGCTACCTTGATAAAGTCAGGAAAAAGCATTTGCACATAGGTTTCACTTGGCTAGATTTCAAGCGTTCTGCATTTAACTGTGAAAGAGCGGGGTTCAGGGAAAATACAGATCTAAATACAAGTTTGACCAGCATCAGATATCGGCAGAAAAATTGCAGAACTATATGTGATTTTGGAGATTTTATGAAGATAATACTCTGACCGTAATCAGTTTAACCCCTTAAGGACACATGACATGTGTGGCATGTCATGATTCCCTTTTATTCCAGAAGTTTGGTCCTTAAGGGATTAAAGACAGTGTTACACTAAGTTTCAGTTGTACTCCAGGGATAATTTGCCAACAGCTATAAATTCAATATATTCAAGTTTGCTAAAAGTACTAGACTTGTTTACTTACACTGAAATCAATATTTCATATGCTTCTAAATTAATATTAGAACCATATATTTATTATTATCTGACCAATTCAAAAGCATGTCTGCAACAAATATGTTGAAAAACACAGGTAGGTTAAGAAGTCCAACTAACAAGTATTATCCCCCATACACAAACAAGAACGTATACAGACAAAACACAATCCCATCATCTGCACCAATCCTACCTATCACACAAAGTGCAAATGTATAACGCTCATACAAGTAACTCATAGACTTATTCATTGATTTACTAACAAGGTTATAAACTAACTCAAAATTTTAGAACATTAAATCCCAGTTGCAAAATTTAGACAAAAAATTGCTGCTTTGGAAAAAAGTTCCAACTTAGCTATAGTCACAGCTTGGTTAGTATAGCCTCAATTTTACATTTTAGATTCACTTTACTAAAATTGTCAGTTTTGTTAATTATTCTGCAGAAGATGACTCCAAAAAGTGGATAAACAAAAAAATCCTCCTTACTTATTTCATGGTGCCCATATTAGGCTAATGAATAGAAAATACAGTTGTTTTTCTTCTTTAAACGTTCTTAATCTTAAAATTTTACTTGTTTATTTTCCGGGTTATTCACTAAAGTGCGATTTGCCAGGATTTCAAAGGGAATTCACATTTTAGAACTAATTACAACTTTGAGTTAGCAATGTTTTCAGATCAGTTATTTTGTCCTAAAATTATGATTTATGAATAAATATTTTTTTAAATCTATTTCTGGTGTTTAAACAGGTTAGCAATCTATGTATCTAGAGTATGTAATTACTAAATGAAGTAATGTTGCAGATGCAATGTATAATAATATCCGTATGACTGTACTAATAATGAATTAAGCAATTATGTTTTTAGAAACCTTAAAGGACCACTATAGTGCCAGGAAAACATACTCGTTTTCCTGGCACTATAGTGCCCTGAGGGTGCCCCCACCCTCAGGGTCCCACTCCCGCCTGGCTCTGGAAAGGGGAAAGGGGTTAAAACTTACCTTTTCCAGCGCTGGGCGGGGAGCTCTCTGCCTCCTCTCCTCCTCCGTTCCTCCTCCTGGGCTGAATGCGCACGCGCGGCAAGAGCTGCGCGCGCATTCAGCCCGTCGCATAGGAAAGCATTTACAATGCTTTCCTATGGACGCTTGCGAGCTCTCACTGTGAAAATCACAGTGAGAAGCACGCAAGCGCCTCTAGTGGCTGTCAATGAGACAGCTGCTAGAGGAAATAGGGGGAAGGCTTAATCCATTCATAAACATAGCAGTTTCTCGGAAACTGCTATGTTTATAAAAAAATGGGTTAACCCTAGAAGGACCTGGCACCCAGACCACTTCATTAAGCTGAAGTGGTCTGGGTGCCTAGAGTGGTCCTTTAACATTTTAAGAAACTCTTTAGCAGTCTATCATATTGAATAAATAATAAATAACATCAAAAGTACAGTTAAAGATAAACTGTTACATCTCTGGAATTTACATCATTGAATACAACACTGAAAATCACCTATAACTTGTGTTAACCTTTTTTTTTTTTCATTTAATGCTTGTTTTTCTTTTAGATTTATCTTGGAGATTTAAAATAACATTAAAATCCCGTCAAAAAAGACAAAGACACAAAAACATTGAAAATAAAGAGTATAAATAGAAACATTGTTTCACATCTCGTTATGTTTTCTTTATGCTGACTGTCGTGTGCAAAGGACAGAGATTACAACAACCAACAACAGTGAGCCGAGATGGAGGTACCCAGTTGTTAGATGAAGAAGTGTGGATTTCTACATTCCCTTTTATTTTTCACACCTCACAAATATATATTGTTTCAATATAACATTGAAAGTGACTGCTTCCCTTTAACCCCTTAAGGACCAAACTTCTGCAATAAAAGGGAATCATGACATGTTACACATGTCATGTGTCCTTAAGGGGTTAAACTTCAGCTGAAATCTTTCAGATTTACACCTTTATATGGGACCTATTCGCATACTTGTCATTTGGTATGTTCCTTGGATTTCTTTTAGTGCAAGAGATTTATTCCAAGCCCATCTTTTGGTACCAGCCCATCACAGTAAGGTACCTCCTATTGTGCCTCTAAGACAATACAGATCCCTTTCTTCATTTGCAGTAACAAACCGCATGGTTAGACATGTGTAATGTTTTTACTGTTTTCTCTGTTCATGCATTTATTTGCCATCTAATTCACACGTTTTAGTGACTTTGTTCAAGGTTAGGTAATATGTCTAATCCACATTATGAATACCTAAACTTTTTATTAGCAAACTAAATTCTAATGATATTTATATGGCTCGAGTGCTGTTCCCATAGCCTCTAGAGCAGGGGTCCTCAAACTCCGGCCCCCCAGATGTTGCTGAACTACAACTCCCATGATTCTTTGAATTACATAGATAGCCAGAGAATCATGGGAGTTGTAGTTCAGCAACATCTGGGGGGTCGGAGTTTGAGGACCGCTGCTCTAGAGATTTTGCTCATCATAACTTCAGAGTCTCTGCAGTCGGTATCTGTGTCCTACCTTTTACTTCTTTTACATGCCATGTTCTTAAGGCCACCTTAGATTGCCTCTCTAGCTTTATGTTCTAACCTGTCACAGCCTTTTTATTTTTTCTATTTCCTGAATAAATATGTCCGTTATGGCCTTATCTTTCTTTGTACTACCTTTTGCTTGCTCGGTATGTGAATAACAAAATGTTTCCACACCTGGACTCTTAACTCCTATTCCAATTTCAGGACTCACCAATCTAGACATCATTTAGCCTGAGCTCTATGATGGGTACCATGCATGCAAGGTTTTGCTATTGGTCATTAACAGATTCCTGGGCTCCAGTCTGCACTCTGCATCTGTAGTCCCTTAAAAAAATGTCATCATTATCATCTTATCCCATATTACATAAACAAAACAAAGTTCACACATATAAGTTTCGGTTTTTTTTCTCATTATTATTTTATAACCAAAATGTAAACTCCATACAATATCTATTTAGTTAAAAAGAAAAAGAGAACATTGAGAATTTTAGCATACAACATATGAAAAATGTTTACAAAATCAGTTGCCTATTATAGTGATTAATCATACAACAAACATTTAATTAATTATGTTTTAGTCTTTTACTCTAATGGATATAGCTAAACATAAACATTACTACAAAGTGTAAAGTACAATAACAATAAAAAGTAGAATATTTGAGACAGGTTTATGGTAAGGGGCTGTTCGCAACAAAGATCCATTCCTTCAGAAATGATTGAAAGTCACTGGGGTACAATGCACTTTATAAAACTCTCACGTATGAAATCAAACTTGTTATCAAGTAGGACAGATAATCTCATTAAACATAAATTAATACATTACATTTCTTGTTGGAAAATGTTTAACAAATACCTAGTCTAATTTATTAATGTATTTGATTCTGAATTTTCTCTTTTAAACAATAAAAAAAGTAAGCATGTTTGTGGGCATGCTTTAAACCTCATTAAAATAATAAGCTGTATATTTGTATTAATACATATTTGCATACTGTATGTACTGTATTGCTCGATCCAACCTTGGCGTTGATGTAACAAGCTTTCCAAATGATTCAATACTGTTAGAAAACACAAATGATTAATCTACAAAATAATCCCATAGGCTTTAATGGTGACTTTCGCAGATAAACCGTTTGGAAAGTTTTTGTAACAGTATTGAATCATTTGAAAAGCTTATTAAATTGAGGTCTTTTTATTTATAGCAGTATTGGAGGATGGTTTAGGGAAATTGGAAAGTTCACATGCATGTTTCATCAGCTTTTTACGATGACATATTGGTCCCAAAATATCATTATGTTGTTCTCTATAACTAAAAAAATAATGAGATGATCTATGAAAATGATGTAATTAAAAGATCTTTAAGTTATAGATGACACGGAGGATGAAAAAAAGAATTAATAGTTTCCCATGAAAGATTATTGATTCTAATTCAAAATTTCTAATTTTTGCACTCCAGCTGCTGTTGAATTTTGTTTCCAATAGTTTTCTTTCATGGAGTGTAAACCACAAATGTCTTTTTTTAGAATTACCACTGATATTGATGCATGACATCTTTTTAAATTAGATTTATATGTCATGGTGTGTACAAAAATATCAAATGGAAGGCCCAACACAAGTGAATGTAAAAAGTAGCTCTTGGGAAAAAAATCCTTGTTCAAATTAGAATTCTCTTATGTTGGAAAAAAAGATACACATATGTAAAATATATATATATTAAATGCCTATTCCATAAATGTCTTGACACATTACAATTTGTTTGACGTTTAAATCATATTGTAGAGTGCCCTTAATAGGGTTTTAATGTTAAGACAGGGCATGTTTGGATGAAACCCACCTTTGTTCAAGTAACAAGAGCAGAATTGTAAATTAAATTCAAGTTATGCATATTCCATAGACCCTCAAATTACTTCACCTTACAGATAAAGTTTAACAATAAAACCAGGAAAACTCCCATGCTCAATTTTGAAAATGTGATGGAAATGTTCCCTCAGTGCATCTATCTTGCTTCACTATGAGCTACCATGGGCCTCTGGCAGTGTGTAAACCAACTAGATTTATGTGTTCTCTAATGGAGAAATACATCAAGAGTTTGCAGTAGCTATGCTAGGAATGGAATGTATTGAGACGAATAAGGCACCCAAGATCTGAATAGCAATTGCCTCATTTTGCGTGTTTTGAAGAGCTCTTGAAAACTCTTCAAAATCCCCTTCCTAGTCAAGAACGTGCATTGCAAAATGTCCGTGTTTATAGTCCTTAGCAGATGTGAAGGAAACTTTTTTGATCACACATTCTGAACTTTCTATATGTGTTTACACAGTTTATTGCAGTAAGGTCCTTTGGAAAAAAATACTTTTTGAAAATAAATACTAGAGAACGGTCACAATATATTGAATTTATACAAAATGGATTTAGTTCTACTTTCAATCAAAACCATCAGTATTCTATGTAAACTTGAATTTAAAATAAGAGTGTTCTGTGCAAAGATTCAGGAATGATTATGTTCTAAATAAGATATGCAACTGCTTATTAAATACAAGTTGTTTTTTTAAAGTAATGAAAAATGTTTATAAGAAAAACAAAACAAATAGTGGAAACCACTGAACAACATGAATCAAGCAATGAAAACTATATGTATCGTAAATATGATTTTTTTTTAATTTGCTGTTTTTCAATAAATTCTTGTTTCACTATAAGAATGTGGCTTTCTATGTATCACTTTTTTTATTCTAACATGTTGTTAAGATGACTCTGTAGAGAACTCACTCAGTAATCCTGCACATATGTCTACCTAATTTCAAGTGCAATACATGTTTATCACATGTGCAATAAAATGTGTTTGTTGACAATTTATTAAGCTCTATGTAAGCTGACTACTACCCCCCAAGATTGATTATCCCTTTTACAGGTAATTTAAGTGGCTGAAACATTTTTATCAATATCATCAGAAGAAATACATAGAAAAATATGAAATTGCTTGATATAATTAGAATACAGGACATCAAAACAATACAGAAGTTCATATAAAGACAAAACATGTCATAATCTCCAAGTAGGTCTTGGAGCAGAACGATGGATTTTAAATTTGAGTATTCTATTCTAAACTGGTTCTAAAAAAGAGCATTTTCCATCACCACCATCAGCTATTCCATAACATGAATATGGGTGAATAAAATATATTGATCAATAAGGAAAAAAGTGTCTAATATTTAGGAATTCTCAGTCTGAAACATATATGGAACTTATGTAGGAAGAACGATTTTCTTTAAAGAACATCCCCCCAAGTCTTATATGTAAATATAAGTGAGGAAGAACAATTGAAAGGTAGAAATTGGATATTAGTTATCAAATATTTCTTTAGAAATGTAAATTGTGTTGTCAAAAGTAATTGTCCAAGTTTACAAAACTGTGTTGTCTTCAAGTTTTAAACCATGTCTCATATTACACTGCTCAATACACAAGGCTCCCTAAATTATACAGAATAACACTCTGTCATGAAAGATAAATGGGCAATGCCTTAATAGTATTACACATAATCAAATTTTGAAGGAGCATCACTGCGTCGAGATTCATTATAAATTGATTTTTTACTCTTGTCTTCATAGGCTGATGTCTTGTATCCTGGGCTCTTAGCAGACACATGGTAGGAAACACCCTTGTACCTATATCAGAAAGAGAACACACAATTATTTAATTCAATAAAGAATCAATATTTAAGTATTTTGATTGTTTTTATTTTAAAATGATGTTGCTGTTCTGCATATATATATATATATATATATATATATATATATATTATTATATATAATCTATATGTAATCTACGCTAGTAAACCCACGCTACCGCAGCTTGAGGCTGTGCTCCAAAACCAATTTACAGAGGTAGAAAAGTGGATAGTGGATAACAAACTCTTCCTAAACAGTGACAAAACCGTTACAATGATCTTTGGAACTGTATCTAAATTACGTAAACTACAAAATCAACAATTTGTATCAGAACAAATTCAAATAGCACATTGACGGCAGTTTGCTATTTTAAATATCTAGGTATGTTGCTACACCTCAATCTATCCTTTGGCCTTCACATTGAAAAAATCTCTTCAAAACTTTTCCCAAAACTAGGTGCCCTCTACAGAAACAAATCCTGCCTAAGCCCTACAGTAAGGAAACATTGATTATGGGGATGTCGTGTATGCACCCGCACCACAAACCCACCTTAATAAACTTAATACGTTATATAATTTGTTCTGCTGCTTTGTACTAGAATGTAATTACTTTACCCACCATTGTGACATGTTAAAAGAGCTAAACTGGCTGTTGCTGGAATCCCGACACACTCTTCATCTTTCCAGCCTTGTGCATAAAAGCATTTCTGGGAAGCTCCCATCCTATCTGAGTAGAATGCTCTCCCTGGATGTTCCCACCTACTATAGCCCCCGATCCAATACTAGTACAATATTTAGCATACCACAATACAAAAATAAAGTGTCTCGATCCTCCTTTTCCTACAGAGCACCGCAATTATGGAATAACCTCAGGGACACAGTTAAATCTTCATTCAATCTAAAATCTTTTAAGAGATCTATGGTAATATACCTCAGCATAGAATGCACCTTTCATGGTTGAATATGTTTATTATCTGTTATGTATTAAATTAATATTTGTGTTTATGTGTATATATATATATATATATATATATATATATATATATATATATATATAGTTTGTATATTGTATTTTTGTAATATTGTAACAATACAATGTTTTGTGGACCCAGGACATACTTGAAAACAAGAGAAATCTCAATGTAACCATCTTGGTAAAATATGTTATAAATAAATAAATATACTCTTTTACATATATTTACACATTCACACCATGGACCCACTGGTTATAAAGTTCATATGGGTTTATTCACTACATAATGTGGGAGGGGAAACACTGATTTGTCTGTGTTGAAGATATTTCCCAATCACAGTAGTCTAGCTGAAATTGAACAAGTAAATTGAAATCTCACCTAACCTGCTGATAGATGGATAGACCCATTGCAATTTTACTATTCAATTTATATTATCATCAATCTAAATCTTATTGATAAAGTGCCAATACACGTATTCCACAAGTCACATTAGAGGTGAACTAACAAGCGGGTAAGACAAGAGAAGTGGGATAAAATTAGACCAAAGGTGAGAATAACATGTATTTCAAACTCAGAAAAAGTTGATTCCTTGGAGTGCTAGCAATAAAATCTAATTTACAAGTGGATTAAACCATTTCAAGTACATTTGAGAACTGACATTTTTTTTTACTTCTTGTGTTTGTCCTAAGGTATCATTTCTAATTTAAAAAAAAAACACATTTTCCATATTTAAATTTTCAGCAATTAAATAGAAAATATGCAATAGAATAATATATATATATAGCCAAAATACCAGATTGTTGCAGTATGCAATGTTACTTTTTTTTTAGATATATACAAATATAAGATGTATAATCATATAGATATATAAAAAAAATGCTTGTTGGCTTGATACAAATTGGTGCATTGCATTGTAGAATTGAAATAATTCTGGTGCAAAGAATTAAAAAGCAATATTTCTAGAGAAATTCTCAGTAATCGTGTAACCTGTGTGTGTATATGATGAGCCCATTGGATTTATATAACATGTTTGACTAGTTTAAGGTTTCTGGTAAATGATTTGTACATATTTGTGTTACACCAAGCTGGATTCTCTTAGAAGAGTAATAATTTACTTTGCTTAATAAATATAGTTTTTTTTTTCCCAGTAGACTTCAATGGAACAGTTGCGGTATTAGTTGTGTTGCAGTTAGTTGTGTTGAGGTTAGGGGAAAAAACATTACGTATATAGTAACTCTCATTGGTAGAGACCAGAAAATAGAAAGTGTAACCACTGACAACAAAGGGGCAAAACAAAAACAAAAAACAGCATAGATGCATGCCAGAGTAGTTGTATTTAAGGAGATAGATGAGAGGGATATGGCAAGGAAGGAGTTGAAGGAAACAATAATTGTCATTAGTTTGATTAGCAATATGTGGATGAGCAGGAGTTCTGTAGTAAAGGTATCCATGAATAGGCAAATGTTTAGCATACTAGAGAGGTGAAAACGATGAGTTAAGGTGAATGTGATTTCCAAAGAATAGAGATTATTCTTAGATATGGATAACATCAAGGTTGCAAGATATGATTGAAAAGAAGATGCATAAATAGTCCAATTATATAGATTGAGATGGTGAAAGAAGTTAAAGCACTCTAAACATGTTTGTTTTCATTTCAGGAAACATGAGTATATCTAGGAGGATAATTTGGAGAGGTATATAGATATTTGGGAAGATAGGTAGAGTGCAAGGAAATTTAAAAAATAAGCTTTACATAAGTTTGAATATCATAATCCAAATTTAAATGCGTCATTTTTGCTTAAAGTCTATAATTACTTACGTTGTTTCCTCAGGCGTTAGTCCCCTGCATGCTATGCACATCATGACCCCACCAACTAGTGTCAGACCACCGGCCACCCATCCAACAAAAAGTGCAGAGCCAAATGTGTATCTAGAAATCAAGAAAAAAGATAAAGAAACTGTGATCTTTATGACTTTGAGTTAAATATGTACCCATGTAGGAGTAACTATCTAAGTATTATAAACATTTTACAGTCCAGAGGGAAGTTACCTTGTCTGTAGAGTCTGCATGCCTCCCATACCTCCCATTCCACTGATGGCACCCCCAGTGTACATGCTAGCCGTGGTCGTCCAGAAGTTTGTTATCAACATGTTTGCAAATACTGAAACTCCAATAATGGAACACAATCCTGAAGAGAAATGTAAGCATTTGTGAAATAAGTGAACAAATACACAAACATGTACATATTCTGGGGCTTTAAAATAAATATATGGATATTTAATGAAATATGAACTACTAGGTTATTTTATTCTCAAGTTACTATAAATGATATCAAATATACATTTTTGTTAAATGACTTCATATTTTTGGATAAACTTTTAAAATATTTTTTTTCAAAATATTAAAATATAAGAAATATATATAATATGATATATCACATCAACATAGGATACACCAATCACAGATCTATGTTAGACAGTCACTCAAAGTAAATAGATAAATTATTGACAAATACCCACATTTTATTCAACAAGTAATCCATCTAAAATAAAATTTAAAACAATAAAGATAAACTTATATTCAGCAGATCATATACAACAAATAAAAGGTAAAGGGATACTTGAAGCATCATGACCTCATCAGTAATATGAAGTGATCATGGTACCTGGAGATTGTACATGCTGCACATACTGAGACTGGTGCCAGAGGTATAAATCAACCACCAGCAGAGTGAATCGGGCATCATTCACTCTTGTTCTGGCCTTGCTAATGTTAATTCTGTACATATTTCCATGCGTGGAATGTCATTCATGACAATAAGCTGATGCTCTCTGCCAATGAATAGCTAGCAGGGTTGGCATTCAGCTTCTGCGGCTCTGCAGAAGCCAGATGTTATAAGCCAGCAGGAAAGGAGACTCAGTGCCTGATGGGCAAAAATTTTTTGTCCTATTACCAGGGAAAGGCACCAGGGTATTCCTACCATAATAACCACTAAAGTGAGCTATTGCCGTTATGTTGGTTGGAGTAATCCTTTTCCTTCTTAATTTCTTTCTTTGTTTTTTTTCTTTCTTTATTTCTATGCTTACTCCACCCAAAAACAGTATTTTATTAAAACACTGTTTTTGGTTGGAATAACCCTTTTTGAACAGATATCATTGCCAGTGAATATACACATCTACGTTCTTCCACTATTGTCCACTTCTGAGTCAAGAAATGAGGAGGTGGCCCCTTAAAAATCTTTTTTTTTCTGACTATTTTTTTGTGTTTTTTTTACGCATTTTAGACCACACTGAATGTTTTCAAGCCTTCATTTTTTGACAATCTTTATTTATCAATGCCTCAATGTTTAGTCAACAAACTATTAATAAGGATGGAAAAAAAGAAAAATCCACAAGACAACCTTGAGTAGAACCCTCTTTGGCTAAAAACTTTAAATCGAAACATGCAGGAAATGCAAATAAGAAAAACAAACTAAAGGAAACAAAAGGACTCAAACTAATAAATAGGTTAAAGAGGACAGGGGGGAGGTGGGGAGAAAAGATAACTAGGGAAGACCACCCATGCTCCCCCATTGAAATGGGCAGTAACAAATGTATCAGACTAAAAAACCCAACATAATGTGAATAGGCACATACCCAACTCCAACCACAAAAACAAGGACTAATAGCTGTATGACTTATCTTAGCCTCACAGGACCCTGACCAAGCCTTTATGAGATCACTGTTCACATTCCTTGACTGATTGATATGGTAAGAAAGAGTTACATACCTGCTATGATGAACATGATACCAGCAGTCAAAGTGATGTTGGCTTTGGCTGAGTCTTCCATGCTACCAATTCGGATACACTTCAGTGCAAAGATTGAAATAAGCAAACCAATAGCCCCTAATACAATCCCTACAATCATCAGGGCTCTGCATGCCTGGAACAAAGCTGGAAGAAAAAAAATACACATTCAATACACATTCAAACCACTTGATTACCCCAAACGTGTTAAAGTATAATTCTAAATACTTATATATAATTTTGAATGTTGTGGTTGGGGCTAAAACAAATACACATTTTGCAAAAAGTATCAAAACTGTTTCAAATCATTGATTAATACAAAAACCCTCACCCTGAAAAAAAAAAATCATGATTTTCATTTGGACAAGGCTTTTTTTCCCTATCTTTTACCCACCAATATTTTTTCATAAACACACACCTAATTAAAAATTAACAACCGTTATCTACGGTATGTGCTCTTTTTATTTCAAAATGTTGTTGCATTTTTTTTTTATTTACTATGTTTACTTGACTATAGGGTAGATTGTCAAGGCACAGCTTGATATACAATGGTATTCACTGGTATCCCATGATGCAGTGTGTTACACAAAGCATCATGGGACATTTGCTTGATGCTATTGTTCATGCTTGGCGTTACCATGAGAAGATAATCATACACATATGTTTGAGTGCCATTTTGGGAAGATGTCAGCACCTACCAATAAAAAGACTTGTTGCTGAGGTAATTGTGTTTTATACTTACATCCTCTGCATACTTCAGCTAAGTATACCCTTTACCACTACAACCACCTTTAATCTTTAAACATTTATTTAAAGTGGAGATCCCCTTATTTATGTGCTATGAAAGTTCATAGATGAGGTGAGAGACAGACATTTGGCGATAACCTCTAAATGGACGTGATAACCAAAGGTAGAAGACCACTTAAATATATGTTTCAGCAAGTTTTCCTTCCCAAAGGCAAAATATGCTGAAATAGATTAAACTAATTATCAGCCAGGGATATATTTTAATATTATTGACTGCCTGATTTTTTTCTGTTCTCATTAGCTACGTACTGGACACATTCAAAACCAGTTAAAAGAAAAATAGTTCTAACGATGTGTTTGAATTGTTAAATAACATATGGCATTGACTTAGTACACTTTGAAAAATACATACATTGCATTGATATAAAATGACAAATCATATGAGTCCTAATCAGACCAAACAAATTACTTTGAAATGGGAGTCCCATTATTCATTACCAGGGTGTGGACTGTAACGAAATAGTAAATAAATAGAAGGAACTTACTGATAAGAGCAGCACACCCGTACTACTGATAAGACATGTTCTGCTTCATATAACAAAGACCTACATTTATTAAAGTGACATTATTCCTTCTTGTTTCTTAGTTCTATTCTGAATCATACCCTATATACTAAATCTGTTGAATTGAATTGATGTTTATGTAGAACTCTTTTTTGAAGAAGTAAAATAAATAGTTTGTTAAGCGCACATTTCCTGTAATAGAAAATTGGCACCAATTTCTAAATATGAGAAGATCTTTTACTTTCTAGGCACTTGTAAATCCTTACAGATAGCATTTTGAAGAGGCATAGATGAGTGTTTGTCCATTTCACCACTAACATTTAAACTTAGTCAATTCTGTTATACAACACATAGAGGTTTATTCACTAAACTCTGTATTCTAGTTAAACTAATCTTAAAATAACCAAACTGTGACTTTACCTTAGTTGGAAAATATTTTATCCTTAATGCTAGCATTTATTACAATTCACAGTATAGTGTATAACTCTGCATATAACACAGATTAGTCATGTAGATTAAAACCAGTGCAGCACAAATATGATATATGGTATTTGGAGTAGGTTGATTAGTTATACACAGTGATGGGTGCATAATAATACAATTTCTTGGAAAACTCTAATTAAATGATAAATAATTGCTATTGTCTGTATATTTATGTTCCCATTTAAGACAAAGCTAATGAGAGGGCTGGAGGGATTAAGAGAGAGATACAAAGAGCTGAAGCTAAATCCAGTATCAAATATGGGAAAATATTATCTTTTAGTGAGCTGCCAAAAATGTTCCATAACTTATTATGTAATATTATTACAAGATTTTCTCCATTAAACACAAACATGCATATATATATATTTGGAAATGACCACACTCCAAGGACTTGATGATAGTAAAAATAAAATATAACTTTTATTCTATAACATTTAAAAATATTGACGTTTCAGCCCCAATACATGGGCTTTCATCAGGATGGCAATAAACATATATATACTTGCAAAATCTATATCAGCTAATATCTACCTATCTATCTATCTATCTATCTATATATACATATATAGATAGATAGATAGATGGAAAGAGAGAGAGAGAGAGAGAGAGATAGATGATAAATAGATATTTAATCCATTTTGCCAGGTAGTCACTTTCCACTCCCTATATTTAAATAGTTAGAACACATTCAACTATGTGACTTCATGATTCCTATTTCCCTTCCTTTTAAAATGGTACATTTGTACAGGTTTTCCACTAAGGCGAATTCTGTATTTCTATTTATAAAGAAAATCAAAATGACCTGGTAAGCCAAGAATGGTAAAGTAAGGTCGGCACTCCGTAAATCCAGAACTCTGCCTTACACAGCTTCTCCACAGGCCCTGATACTGGAATACTGCAGTCACTGGGTTATCATAAAGATCTTGTGTACTCCACATGTCCAGTCCAGTTGCTGCGATGATCCCAGCGAAGCCCAGGGCTGAGACAACAAAGCCCAAGGTTTGGCACATTGTAACCGACATGATGGCAAGTTGTGAAAAATCCCAGCTTGTTCTCTCTGTTGCTTCTGCTCTACTGGACTCCCCTTCTCAAGGGCAGCTATCACCACCTCTTTCTCCTCTTGCTTTGTTTGCTCAATATGTTTTCATAAGATAGCTGGGTTTCGCCTTCATTGTGGGCATGTATGGTTGAGTTTCACTTGACATTCAGTATCACAATATAAAGGTAGAGAGGTAGGGACATGATGATGTCATGACCATAAGATTGCTACGTCAAAAAAGTACGCCATAACCACAGTTTCGCTGATATCCAGTCTATTACTAATTTCCGTTTACCTAATAAAGTCACTGACCTTTCATATAAATACATATTTAAACATGTAGTGGATCAAAGAAAAAAATTGATGTGTATTCCATTAATGTGGATCTAACTCCGATACTGTAAACATGTACACTGCTTTCACAGTACATACTAAACTCATCAAACTGTAAATTTGCCGTTGTAAACTCAAGTTGTAGAAAGTGAGACCAGGCTGAAGTCAAAGAATATAATACACTCAAAATAGCAAAAAGTGAATATATATTAAGTGTGGATTGCTAAGAAATATAACAAAACCAATCAAAATGTCATAATTTATTCTCATGTTCTAGGTCAAAGGACAATGGTTATCTCAAAACTAATTGTAATATAATAATCCTTTATCAAGTTTTAAAAGGAAATAGATTTTTTTTTTAACTGAAGGTATATGTAAAACAATAAGAAAAAGACACTTCTCAACTTTTAGTATATGACAGGATAATCCAGCTATATACATGCACCTTAGGTCAGGCAGTGTTTGAACAGTTCGTCTCTCTGGTCTTCCCTGCTTCACTCTTTGCCCAGAAGACTATAGATAGAGACTGTCAATTTTCTGTTTAACTAATTTCTGTCTGAAAAATTGCATTATTTTACATTGCAGGGTTAAAATTAAAGTGACACTGTGGTGTTCTTTAAAAAAAAAATACTTTCTTTTCAAACTTGATGAAATAAATATTGTATTTAAAAAAAAATCAATTGAAAACTGTGATACAGAAAGACCCATGATCATTCAGCATTGGCCAGGAAGGTCAGAAATGTCTGAACCAAACCATGAAATTGGAACAATTGTAAATATTGTATCAGAAAACCTGATACTTTATCCATCAGCTATATGCTATTAATTGTCTATCAAGAAGAAGGAACATAAGAAGGTACAGAAATACCAAGGACTGAAAGAGGAGCTAGAAAGAATGTTAAAGGGACTTTCCAGTGCCAGGAAAACATATCCATTTTCCTGGCACTGCAGGACCCTGCAGTGCCCGTCTCCCTCCCACCCCATCCCATGTTGCTGTAGGGTTTAAAACCCCTTCAGTGACTTATCTGAATCCAGCGCCGATGTCTCTCAGCGCTGAATCAGGCTCCGCCCATGCTCCTACCCTGCCGACACCAGCCAGCGGGGAGACATACTAAGTATGCGCGCCAATGGCCATGCACGCATTAGACCTTTCCAATAGGAAAGCATTATACAAAGCTTTCCTATGGGGATTCCGGTGACACTGGAGGTCCTCATGCATAGAGCGAGGATGTCCAGTGTCATTTAAAACACTTTGCGTGTTCTAAGAACACAGAAGTCCCTCTAGTGGCTGTCTGGTAGACAGCCACTAGAGGAGTACTTGACCCTGCAAGGTAATTATTGCAGTTTATAAAAACTGCAATAATTACACATGCAGTGTTAAGGGTGGTGGGAGTTGGCACCCAGACCACTCCAATGAGCTGGGCAGAAGTGGTCTGGGTGCCTGGAGTGTCCCTTTAAGAGTGAAGGTAGTAGTACAGTAGTAGTGATAGACACACAAGCTGGTGGAGTGGCTTCAGCAGTTTCTAAATGGGACATCTGGTATCTCAGTCTAGAAGAGATCAGTTCTAGAACAGCTAAGATACTGTGCAGAACACTCACACTCCCATGCTTCAAGTGGAGGAACCAAGAATGAGGAATACACACATTTCTTTTTACCAACCAGAGGGGTATATATGACTTATATGTTGCTTGCTCTTCGAGAAGCAAGCCAATGGTCATTGACACCTGAATGTAGTATGTTCTTTGTCAAAAATGGATGTACTTAGAAGCTGTGCCCACACTGAAGAGCTGCTTAAAACACGTAAGCTATACTTTCAAGGAGTGTCTCCTGTGTGTTATACATCTATGCTATTTAGAACAGCAATATCAGTCTGCTAAACAGCACGCAATCCAGTATGACAGAATATGGAAATTATCTTTTTTTAATGAAATTAGATCCAGTTTAAAAAAATAAGATATATATTTTTCCCTTTATCAACTACACATGTAAGTTAAAAAAAGCAAGAAAAGAAAAACCAAGAATATATGTTTTCCCTCCACCCAACATACATGCATATTTTATTAATATAAAGCTATCAGGAATTGGGGACTGTTTTTATAGTTATAAAGACTTAAAACAGAATTTAGCAAATAGTACATTTGTCCTACATACATTATAAGAAGGAGGGGTCCCATACAAGAGAGTACATACTTGGCAGGCAATTGCTTAAGCAGCTGACTGCTTAGGGTCAATATAATGTTAAACCTTAGTAAAACATATATTGCTAAAAATAAATATCTGTAAAATATAATCTCTTTATATATATATAGAAAGAAAGAAAGAAACAGACAGTGTGAGATAGATCAATGATATATCATAGATATTTAATATATAGTATATATATATATATATATATATATATATATATAGTAATGAGATATATCTAAGCAAAGTACAACATAATATTAACCATTAAGTGTCTAATCAGTCACCTGCAAAGTATATACTTAAAATGTATGTATGTATATATATAGAAACTGAGCACCACTTGTTACTAAATTTAAATTTCTTACCCCGGTGTAACTGACAGCCAGCCGATAACACACTCAACAAACAAGGAAGTGCACCCCACTGCTTTATTTAATTAACAAACTGGCTGTGAAATCATGCTATAGCCTACTTTTTCATGAAATACTGTATTGAAAACTATATATATATATAAACCAAGAGGGCTGCACCCACCTGAACATGCATACATTATAGGGTGCTACTGGAGCCAATTCATACAACATACAAGATCCAGCGCACTCGCTTTTTCACTAAATAGCAATTTCAAGTCTCACAGATTGTAAACAAAACACCTTACCTATGCAAAAAATAATAGGGATTTAGTTACAGTATATGATCATAGATTGCATAAGCCTGCCACAATGTCAATTTACCCCATTATTGACAGGTACTATCCTAGCAACCTAATGCCTGCTCTTATGAGATCAATCCACTTATATGGGAAATTTGGGAAATGCTTCCTCCTGGGACTCTCTGAATGTTAAATAGTGTTTAGTGAGTGCACTGGATCTTGTTATGAATTGGCCCCAGCAGCACCTTATAATGCATGTTCAGGTGAGTGCAGCCTCTTCGTTTTATGTATATTTATTTAGGAGTCCAGGCCAGCTCCCCGGTTTTGCACCCCTCCCTGTCACAGGCACCTCATTCCAGGGCCATATTTAACCTTGCACTGAAGAGATTCCCAGTATGACCAGAATGATCATATATTGTACTTTAACCCCCATTATTTTTGCCTAAGGTAGGTGTTAAAAAAAAACCCCCACACTATTATATTCTGTGAGACTTGAAATTTAGTGAATGAGTGAGTGCCCTGGATTTTTTTTTTATTACTTATTCAGAGAGAGAGAGTTAGAAAGAAAGAGAGAGAGAGAGTGTGTGTGTGTGTGTGTGTGTGTGTGTGCGTGTGCGTGCTTTTTATTTTTTTTTCAATTCAATACCATTTCTAATTATGAAAACTCCAAGCAGAGAGTGACTAATGGTAATTGTACAATGTAGCATACAGAGAGTCTCATTCACTTAAGAAGAAAACATCTGCTCCAGCTTCCTATAATATACCTTTATACCTTTTATTAGAATTTTATAAAAGACATTTCTGTGCATTGATTTATTTCTCTGAGCATGTACATTAAGTTCCATGTGCACAAGGACTCGTAAGTGAAAGAAGTTCAAGTAACATGAATTTGAGGTCAATGACTAAATATTTTTTTTTTATAATTCAGAAGGCTGCTTTGATGATTTATTTAAAAAAAATAATTATCTTGGGGATGGAATACTTTTATACACAGAGAGACTAATTTATCTTTAGCAGCAAAATGCATGCATTGTTCAAAAAAAGTGCACAAATTGTGATTGCATGATTATAGCATGATCTGAGAATTTAGAATTATTTGTTCTTACTGTGTCGCAGTATTTGCACCAAAATGCAACTGCAACCACTTCAGTGTATCTTCACAGGTTTTGAAGTAAAATTACTTTTTTGATTGCTTTGAAAAATAACTCATGCACTTTATTTTCTTTTTTCTGCCACAAAAAGTATGCAAAACTATTTCATATCATTGAATTTTAGCATTTAACAGTACAAAAATGTCAAATGTGTATAAATACCTACCAGAATCTTGCCCGAGTTCAACACATTAGACACATGCATACAATAGAATGGTACATTTTGTTTGGGACTGATTCCATTCAGACAAAATTACATTAAATGTTATAAACATAAACTACATAAACTTTTATATCGTAGGGGCAAAAATCATAGGTGGGTTGAGGCAGGAAAACCTACTTGATTAGCGATCAGAGTTTTACCATTTTGATGGGAAGCAGCAGACCAATGGGACCACATTTTAAAATGGATGCTATATGACTCCAGTTATCCTACCAAACATCTCTTCATAAAGTAAGGCCAAGGATAAGTTGTCAGTCACTGTAGAAAGGGTAGGTGACAAGACAGACTCCCATGCTTCGTTGCAATCAGTATACTCATAACCATTTTAAGGTCCCTTGTAGGATATCTGGGAACATGTCTAATAGATAAATCTCAGGGAAGAGATTTTAACCATACATGGACTAATTGAGCTACTTGCAAATATGAGACTTTGAAAACATCTCTCTGGGTTGGTCAATAATTAACCTGGATATTATTCTCCAGAGCTGTTACTACACCTGACTTTAAACAAGTCACTACTTTGTCATTCCAAAGACAGTCCCCCCCCCAAAAAAAATGCACACCTGATTGCATATGGAATTTAGAATTAATTGCTCTTATTGTTTTGCAGTATTTGCATAAAAGATTAACTGCAACCTCTTGGATTTTATCACAGGTTGTGAAGTAAAATTATTTTGTCGATTGAAAGGAACAAATACTCATGCACTTCACTTTTTTTTTTTGCAGCTGCAAAAAGCACATAAAACTACTTCATAGCTCAATGTATGCTCCTATATCTCAGATCCATAGGATAACTTGATAAACTATAGCTAACTCATACAAAATCAAGTTGATCAAGCAAGGAATGTTCACTTTAACGTTATGTAGGAATGTCTATTTGAAAAGATCTAATCATGACCATTTCTTGTTAATTATGACCTTTGTGGTTACATGAAAAATATCTTTGTCATGGAAGGAAATACTCAAACAGTATTTACTATTTATTGCTCTATACTGTCCCCTCTGGGTGTACCCTCATCTGACTTTAAAGGGTTCTTCAATCATCATAACCACTACAGATCTCTGTAGTGGTTATGATCCGAGAAGTGCCCTAGCCCTCCTGTCAAAGGGGAAAACTATTTAGTATGGTTTTCCCCATTATCAGGGTCCACGCTCCAATGCTCCTTGGTGTCCTGGTGACGTGCTTCTGGCTTCTGCAGAACTAATCTTGACCATCGGAATTCATTGGATGAGAGCATCAGCTGAATGATCTCAGCAAATTACTGACATTCTGTACAATAAAAGTTGTCCAGAATTGACATTTGCCTGAAATGCTAGTTCCGGGCTGGCTGATGACACCCCAATGATGCTGCTGGAGGTGGAGTTACATAGCAAAACTCTACACATAAAGATTCCAGACACCATGACCTCTTCAATCAGCAAAGTAGTCATGGTACTTCGAGTAAACCTTTAAGTCCCTCTGCTGCAATAGCTTCAATGAGCTTTTAGTAGCTAACAGCTGTACACTTCATGACTGGACGACACCCAAATCTAGTAAACAAATGTGGATTTAATTTATGAAGACAGGGATTGGCTGTGTGCAAACTGATCCATCACTGGTTGAGAAGAGTTCATATATACCTTGGAAGACATTTTGTGAAAAGGAAAACATTTTGGAAAAGGGAGAGGGGGCAGAGTAAAGATGCTGAAGGCTGCAAAACTTTTTACTTTTAGTTAAACTAAAAATATTTGAATAGGGAGAACAATACAGAATAAATATGAGGCCAAATCTACCATGTTATTTAAAAAAAATGTAATCTAATTAAATTATATACATTGTATCTATTTTCCACTCCCCCTTTCTGACTGTCCAGCGTTTAGCACCTTTGATTGGATAGTCAATTATGAGTCAATGCTTAACGTTTTGTAGCTGTCCGTTGCTATTTAAAACAAGTTGCTCTTTGTGTCTGATGTATTTTCTCAGGAGCTTTTGAAAATCAACAGACCATTGCAAAATAGTGAGCATTGGGTCACATGTCTGACAATCTGACCAAAGGTGCATAAAGATGGCTGTCAGAATGGGGGCGTGGGAAACGCAGGGAAGTAATTTTTAGAAGAGGTTTATTACAGGATAGGGATTATATTAAGATCTTAAAATACCCCCACACTCAGCAAAAAATAGTTTAGGATAATCAACTGGTTTTATTGCTTTTATAGGTCTGGATTTTGTTTCTTAAAACTATATCAAAGAATCAAACAAAATATTAAACTGTCTCTACGTCTATAAAATCTTACAAGATTTTATGACTCTTGAAAGATTTAAAATTATTTATCATCAACATGGCTATGACAGAAGAGGAAATATTCTGACATTTTAGAAACAGCTTTTCAAAGATTGAATGGCCAAATTATTTAATATTAGCTAAAGAGAACAAAATATCGAAGTTAGTAGGCATCAGTAGTCCCTTGGTTAATGCAACATTCATCTTCGAAATGCCACCTATCGACATGTACGTCTGATTTAAACACATTCAAGGTGAGAATGGTTGGAAATTCATAGCTCATTTAAAAACAGAGGTATTTCCTCAGAAGTCAAAGTGAATTGGAAGTGATTTTCAAATTTAAGGCCAGAGTTGTTGTACTGAAAACATGGCTGACTTGGGGAAGTAAGGACATCAGAAATGCCCAACCTGAAATTCAACTTGCTCTGTTTTCAGAATTATTTCCAAGTGAAATATTTTTGGCACAAATCGAGTTTTATTTTTTTCCAATGTATCATTATTATAGAATTTTTGTTTTTAACAGTACCATATCAAAGGTGTATAAATACATTACAGACTCTTGCCAGAAATAACACATTAAACAATCACTGTAGAAAGGGTAGGTGAAAATACAGATTCCAATGAACTCACTATAAATTGCTTGGCTGCTATCAGTATATGCATAATTATTTTCTATACAGTCACTTGTAGGAAATCTGGGAACATGCCTAATAGATATATGCCAAGCAAAAAAAATAGCTGTTAACCATACTTAGCATGAAAGAATTGAGCAAAGTGAGTTTCTTGCAAATATGAGAAGTTGCAAACAAATCTCTGTGTTACATTGTCACATAGTCGAAAAGAGACTTGCCTCCATCAAGTTCAGCCTTTCTAAATAACTAACCTGGACAGTTTGCTCCAGAGCTGTTACTACGCCTGACTTTAAACAATTCACTACCTTGTCATTCCTAAAACAGGCCATGGAAGATAGACACATTTAGTTACCCTTCATTTCTGTGTTACTAAGATCATGTCTCAAATTTAATCAGAGAGAGAAAAAAGTGAATGCGAAAATATTATTATGACAATTCTAAAGTGAAATTATATTGACTATAAAATAAAATAAAAAGCAACGTCACTTCTGCTACCAATTATAACTTTATTTTGATTATTATTATAACTGCAGATATGTTTCAATATATTAGTTCAATCATGAATGCATAGAGCAGTGGGGTTAATATGTAATATGTTAATATGTTATAATATGTGCTTCTCATTAATTGTGCATGCATGTAGAAATTCAGTGAACAATAGTATATTCAAAGTACTAATCTATACCTATAAAGCACTGACCAATTCTAACCCCTCCTATATTTCTTCACTGATCCACAGATATGCCCCTTCTCGGTCTCTCCGCTCTGCCCATAACCTTTTCCTGTCTGCTGCTCGAACCCATAGAGCCAACTCACGCTTGCAGGACTTCGAGGGTGGCTCCTTTCCTTTGGAATAGCCTGCCTACGACCATCAAGCTCTTCCCTAGTCTTCAATCATTTAAAAACTGCTTCAAAACCCATCTCCTTAGGAAAGCTTATGACCTTCCAGAGTAACCTCTACCTCACTTACCTATCCCTTGCTCTCTCCTAAACGGCAGCACTATATTCTCTCCTTCAGCTCTGCTTCACTCCACCTAGTTTGATTGCTACCTCCTGTCCTTTTGGGTTTTTTACGCCCCATCTCCTATTGACTGTAAGCTCGTTTGAGCAGGGCCCTCTTCAACCTATTGTTCCTGTAAGTTTTTGTAATTATCTCATTTATTGTTAAATCTCTCCCTTTGATAATATTGTAAAGTGCTACAGAATATGCTGGCACTATATAAATACCAGTAATAATAATAAAAACTGTTTGTTTTTTTGTTACATATGTCATGTTTCGAATAGCTAATTCTACCTACTTACCAAAATGTTCAGTTCGGCTAAGAACCATACAGAATATTATTTAAAAAAATCAAACATTCAGCTAGTTGCGAATCATTGGAAATATAGTTAAAAAAAACAAAAAGAAAACTGCTTGCCAGAGTTAACCACCACTGGTCTAGAAATAATGACATTTTGAAAAGCAGTTGGGGTAAATTTGGATTTAATTAATTAGGTTGGTGAATGTTTTTATTTTTTTTTATTTTCTATTCAGTGTTGCAACTTGGTTGCCAGCTCACCTGTAACTAACTATATAGTGGATAAATGTGTAATTTAATAATGTTAAGAGCTGTTCATTGAATGCAACCTATAAATTACATCATTTGAATGAATAAACAAGAAGAAACATTTGCACACAAACATCAAAAAATTTTCAATGAAAGTATATTGCTCGCTATTCAGATTTAAATAAACATTCTATCCAATAATAGTTATTATTTATATAGTGCCAATAAATTCTGCAGTGCTGAACAATGGGTGAACTATAGTGTATTGCGCTTGAACATTGAAGTGTTAATGAAAGGGAAAATTATATATAAGAACCTTGTGGAACTGAAGGTTTAAACATTACTCTTCTTAGCTTTATCACCTTAACATGGTCTGTAAAGAGGACCACCTATTACCATGAGTGTACTTATGTAATGAGCAATTTTATTTGACAGAATCCTCTGTTTGTCACAGGCCTTTGTGTAGGATGTGCTCTGTTCTCAGATGTTTAGGCCTACTGAACAATTGACTTTCTTTAGAATTTCTAATTCCACATATCAAACCCAACCCCTTAAATTTGCTTTCTATTTTATTACGATCTGAAAACTAAAATTATAGTCATTGCATTTATGTGTCTTAGTGAATTTTGGTCACTTCACCGTATAGTAACTCCTAGGACCACTCATGAACCACATGATATGGAATTAGGTAAGCCCTAACAGTGGCTAGTTAGTGATCTTTTAATGCTGTTTTTCTTGTTTGTCTTACAATCTGAAGCACAAGATCACACATGGAGTCAATATACCATGCCCCAGCTTTTCTGAATCACAGAAGATATAGGTATAGTTAAATCCATGCATTCTGCAGCCACATTTACATGAATTCAATACATTAAGCTTAGAAGCAAATTGAAACTTTTGCTCTCACCTGGTAATCCCAGGATGGTAAAATATGATCGGCATTCAGTGAACCCAGAGCTTTCCTTAACGCAGGTTTGCCACAAGCCTTGGTAGTTGAAGACCGCAGTTACTGGGTTATCGTACATATCCTGGGTACTCCATTGGTTCATGACTGTTGCCGCAATTATTCCAGCCACCCCAACAGCTGAGATTACGAATCCCAGGCACTGACAGATAGTTACAGCCATTGTCACCTTGAATACACTAAAGAGGATGAAGTTTGAAGATCAGCCTGCACATTGAGTATCCGAGCTGTTGAGATGCAGTGTTTTTACTCTGGTAGCATTGAATACGTCATGTATGAGAGAGACTAAAACATGTAAAGAGGTACCGCCCAATACCTAATCTGATTGAAGCAGATAAGTGCAGCTTTCTGTACCAGGAGGCCTTTGTTACAGTCAACTATATGTATTTACACTGCACATGGCCTCATTTCTCCACCCATATCATACTCATGACTAACTGCCAGTTTGATTGTAGATTCAGCAGAACAGATTTTAAATAAAGCAGAGTTCAAGGGATGGGGTTGTTGGCTTTTGGAAGCATTTGGTTAAAACTAAATGCTGAATGTTTAAGCAGGAATAAAGTAAAAAAGAGATTCTAAATTTAACCCCTTCACTGTCAAGTTCTTGTCACTTTTGAATATATATATTCAAATAAGGGATATATAGCAAACACATTTATTTTTCCATGTATAAGACTATATTTTTTTCTAATTTTTTTTAGTCTAAAATTGGGGGTTGTCTTATACATGGAATGTCATTGCAGGGGTTTAAAAAACCACTTGTGCGCATTGCCTAAACCAAGATGGCGCCTGCCACATTTCAGTGTACCGCAGCAGACACACATACTTGGCCTCCCTCCCACCGATCCACTTCTGAATGCTGTGGCAAGGAGGAAGGTGCACCTAAATGCATGGGAGCTGAAGCAGACATCATCACATACTACCAACGGAGCTCCTGAGACATGCCACACCATAAAAGGAGCAGACATATTAAGGTTTGCTGTATTGTGGGATTTGTAGTTTCCCAGCATGCACGATGGAGCCATTAACTTCACAAAGTCCCGTAGCACAGGGGAGGCATGAGAATCAGAAGTGTGTTGTTCTCCTCACAAGTTGCCTCTAAAATACCAAAGTTGTTCTATTTGATGTTTAAAATACTGATGTGTTATACATGCGGTCGTCTTATATACATAAAAATATGGTATTTCATATAAATATTGTTCAGATATATTTAAAGTGTATAATTTGTCATATATTTATTCATTATGCCCTTACGCAGCTAAATGGTTGTTCCAAACATCATGACAACTTCAGTGCTTTGAAGTAGCCTTGGTGGTAGGAGTCAGTAAGTGCAGTATTTCAGCTTGATGTACTGCACATACTGGGATATTTGTAATTGTGTGCTGGTGGCTAGTTGCACCCCCAGCACTTGTGACATTGGCTGCCCAAAACTCTGATCCAGACTGCTAATGTCAATTCTGTGCATAAAATATATATGTTGTCAGCACGCACAGTGCCTGCAAGAGGAAGCTACCTCTCCCCTCCCACTGTGGGGTGTCCCTCACAAATCTCTTCATTGTACAAGTTTTTATTTTAAGAAAACAACTCTCCCCACACTGCCCTGGAGCATGTGCATGCCCTCTAAGCTGGCAAAATGGTCAAATCACAGGTTTCTCTATAGAAGCTTGTGATTGGACCGCCTGCCCCTCTTCTGAAATTGGAGGGTGCGCTGAAGATCAGCACCTGAAACTTCACCTGCCACTGGATTCAATGTGAATCAAATACTATATTTTGCAGGTTGGAGGGCAAATGGAGAGGGGCTGGGGGGACCTTCTCTATAGCGACCAATAGAGCGTTTTACACTGGAAAGTCTCCCCCCCCCTCCCTTCAGAAGTGTTAGAGTGTTTTATTTGTAATTTTTCTTTGCAGTTTTCAGATAATTCTCACTGAAATATTTTGACTGTTCACTGGTTGTGTCATCATGCCATTGCATAGTTGTATATATCAGTATAAAGTCAGAGAAGAAAAAAAAAAAACAAGTTCACTATCCAAAACCACAATACTCAACCAATAGCTATCTAATATTGCCTGACTAGACAAGACTACCACCACCCTTTTTAATGTGACCTCATCCCCATTTACTGATCAGCAGAGATATTGAAGAACTAAATATCGGAACCTATCCCATCTGGGGATTACTCAGGAAATTTAGAGTACCAGGGTTGCCAAATCTTATAAAATCATTCTATATTTGTCTGTGTAATATAGTAACCTTTTTCCATCAAGGCAATGTGATTAATCTGTTTTCTAACCTCTCCCCAACATATTTGGGTCATATTTTTCCAGTTACGAGCAATTATAAACTTCATGGCCAGGAGGATATGAATAGCTAAACTCCTCTTTGCTGCAGGTATGGTGTTTAGCCCACAATGAATTAATGCTAAGGGCTAACTACAATATTAGGCAAGGCAATGATCACAAAAATCTTCTCCCAAGTGTGTTTGATAAGTTTGCACTCCCACCACATATGCAATTTTTTCCCCAGCTGACTTTTCTTTTTGAACAACCCAACAACCCAAGTGTGTGACTTTTCAAGCCCCCTAATAAGGACTCTTACTTCTTCTTGATCCATCCATAGGAGATTGGCGAGGTTTTTCACCCCTATTAACTGTTGTTCTATCTAGTGGTTATCATGCTTGGTGTAACCCTTTAAAATCAATTTACATCAAGTGGCATTTAGGCAACATCCCTTCAATTCACACTAAAAATCTATGTGTTTCTGTGACTATGAATTAATTTATACCTGTGTTACATGTTAACATTGTGAGATTTTCTGAATGCATATCTAAGTAATTTAAGCAATGTTACAATGCTGTTGCAATGGAGACACATCGTTAAAGCAAAATTGCACTTTTAATATTGCCATTAGTGCTTGAGGTTAGTGGTTACTTGGGTTAGAGGGCATTTTGTTTTAAGGGTCAAAAGACTTCAATTTAGCAGATGCTGGGGGTCATAACTAGGAAACTATTAGTTATGGTGAGCACATGCTGCACTTAACATGTTGAGTGTTACCCCCTGTGTGAGGATCATGTAAGAAACAGTCAACATCATCTTCTTCCCATGTAGTAAGACGTGCACCCAGCTGTATCCAATGTAGTCTGACATGCATCACACTGTATGCCATGTATTATGAATGTAACACACTGTATACCATGTATTATGATGTGCTACAAGCTGTATCCTGTGCAGTATGAAAGTAAGAATAATACATATTATTAATATTATTGTGGTTGTTATTATTATTATTATTTTAATTATGTCTTGAGATTCTTGTATTATGGTTTATTTTGACCTAAAAATATATTTTTTCCTATTAATGCCTACTTTTGGTTACTCAATAATTTATTTAGTGCAAGAGTATTCTATAAACAAAGAAATTGATACACATATATACGTTTAATCAAAAATGCCTTAAGTTGCGATGTTGAGGGGTTCTGTGATATACTTATCAGTTAGTTTGAGAACCTGAAAGATGAATAGTAATACAATCTTACTGTGATTTGCCACAGAAATGTTTTTATACCAACTAGATTGAATATATGTTAAAATATCAGTATATCACTGCATTAAACAATATCTTATGTTTTAGTAAATGTGGTTACTCATGGCTAACACAATGACTGAATAAATGCTGATAAAACTGTTTCTGTATGTGTGGGTGCCCTAACCATGTCACCGTCTGGTCAGTATTTCAGGCGTATTATAATGGTATTCTCGTGAGCAAAACCAAATAGAGCAATATTTACCGATACTGATTACACGACATCCTCTCTCTATTTTTTTTCATTGTGTAGCTAATTGGTCTTTCACAAGCTTACTTCTCATAATGTCCAGCCTTTCCTGTAAATCACACACAATGAAACTCTGAGTCACGGTATTAGATAGGAAATGAGCACCTGTTATGGAGCAAAGCCTGAGGTCCATGTGACATTTCTGATACTAGAAGCAGGTTTTGCTTCAATGCACATACCCTACGAGAGTAACTCAGGTTTTACGATTCTAGTTAGGGTTCTCATGCAGGATGAGGTATGACATTAGTGACTGACCAGCGCATTTCCATATATTTAGTCAAAAGAAAATCCGATTTCGACTTAATTCTGCCACATTCATCTTTCTTTTTTCTTTAGTCTGTGTTTGACCATGTTAAAGGTTTAAAGAGAGAAACACAATTATATCTTTTAAAGTATAGAAATACAGATCGATGATACATAACAGTGAACTAAGTATTATAAAAATATAATGCCATAGAGGGGTTCAAGACTAAGGAGAGGGTGGTTTATAAATGTCTCTAGAACTCTAAAATTCAATATTTTTCACTAATGCACATTTTGTTGTTATTACTGCATGCAATGTAAACTGGTCCCAAATGGCAGGTGGGGCAGCACTAGGTATACAAATACCACTCAGAAGTATAACATCCAGTAAGTTTGGATAAACTGGGAAAAGTTTGTTTTGGTTCTGTATGAGATTGTTGGCCCTGAGACTGCCTGGAGGTACGTTATTACCCATTTATTACAACATTCGCAGATTTGGTCTGTCTTTTAAAATAATTTTAAAAAATAAATATAAATTATTATAAATAAATGTAATTGTGGATGTTTTGGATGATGAGGCGGAATAAGACAGCAGATATATAAAATGTGTTTGGCAGATTCCAACAGTGGTTGAGAATGTACATAGAAATAACAGATTATCCCCGATGTTTCTGTAATCCAAGGATTAAATGACTCTGGTTGTAAATTACAGATTTTATTTTTGTTTCTCTGTTGATAAACTAGGTCCCAACAACCTCTGTTACCCAAGTAACCAACTTGGACAAGTTGGGAAGGGGGAGCATGACTGCTGCCCATGGATGGTGGGCTGGATTAAAAGTGAAACAATGTTGCAAAGTTTAAGGATTTTAAGGAGATGGGAGGGAGGAGACTTACCAGTCGTCAGGAACAGTTGAGGGACCCTGACTGTATTTACCACCCATCCCACTGCCCTGTTTTTGGTGTGTTGTGTTTCAGTGTCTTGTTGTTGTTTTTTTGTCACAGGTTGCCAGTTTTACTGGACTCCGCAGCTGAAAAAAGAGCAAGACGTGGTGTTACTTTGGGGAGATGAAGGGGTTAGTTGCCAGCTGTTGAGGCTCATGGAGAAAGAAATGGGAGAATTGTCTGTTGGGTAACCGCCAAACAACTGACATGTTTTGGATGATGTTCAGAATTGGTTCTGTTAATAAAGCTGTGGCCGTTTCCCTTATCCACCATAAAGATGTCACGTGTTTTATTTGGAGGGCAACGGTGGGATGGTATGGATGGGTCAGCAGACATGTGACTTGCAGGTTAAGAATATTTAGCAGAGGCTTAATATAAGTCATGACAGTTGTGCAGGAG